ACCTTAAATGACCTTTTATGATCTTAATGACCATCTGACCATGTCAAAAGCTGTCTCTTATACACATCTAGATGTGTATAAGAGACAGTATATATATTTCATAGTAAAACATTTGAATTCTGAGAGTATGAATATGATTCTAATGTTCTAATGTAATACATGAGTTACGTATTTTTTTAAATACCATACAATATTTGACCTTGAATGACCTATTTGTGGCAATCTGACCAGGTAAAAAATGGTAATGGCATGGTATATACATTGAATGACCTTAAATGACCTTTTATGATCTTAATTACCATCTAACCATGTCACAAGTGTTATAAATCCTTGACCATGAAATATAATTTTAGATATCATAATTCTCATTAAAGTGGTTTAAAAACCGATATATTGATAAATATAGGATTTGCGTGGCAGCAATTTTGAAATTGTGTATAAGAGATATTGTAGTTCATAGTAAAGATTTTGAATTCTGAGAGTCAGGGTATGGTTCTAATGTAAAATATGACAATTATGTAATTTTTAAGATACCATACAATATTTGACCTTAAATGACCTTAAATGACCTATTTGTGGCAATACCTGGTCAAAAATGGTATGATGGTTTTCCTTGACCATATAAAAATAGTTTCAGACATTAGAATTATAATTCCAAGTGGTTTAGAAGCGAAGATATAGATAAACATAGGTTTTATTAGGCGGCTATTTTGAAATCCAAGATGGCCGCCATAATGACCTCGGATGAGGTGGTTCCTACCAAAAATTGCATGCTATGACCATAAGAAGCATGTAAAAAAAAATTGGTGCTTTTGTCCGGAACGTCCACATCCATCTGCTAAGCTGCCGGTCTATTAATACTAGGCATAGTAATCGGCAGGTTCTTGATTACAAGGCTAGACCAAGTTAATTACATGTAATGCCGAAATGATTATTATTATTATTATTTTTATTATTATTATTAATTATTATTATTATTACCTGTACCTTAAGGGGAACTTAGACAAGGAGGAATTAGAGAACAATTAAAAAAACGACGTTAAGGGGAAATAACACAAAAGATATTCCCCTTTGGGCGATTATTATTTATAGGCCTAGTAAATAGTACGGTATATATCTGTTGGTTCTTCATTACAAGACTTAGGCCAAGGTAATTAATGCTGAAATTATTATTATTATTATTATTATTATTATTATTATTATTATTATTATTATTATTTAACATTAATTACATTATAATGATAGTTTGGACAAGTTCAATAACGCGGGAATGGTATATTATTTATTTAATAATATTTCTCTTTGCGCTCTATTTTTTATTTCATGCTTCAATTTTGTCCTATTTTTCCCAAAAAAAATTTCAGTCAATGTCAGTATGTTGTTGCCTAGTTTAAGGAGGAGCCTAGGTAAGATCTCAGCCTGTTAGGCCTCTTTCTCTCTAGCCTTTGGTATTACTGTACCTATCTACACTTTATAACAGGAGGTACTAGCTGTTGTTGTTGTAGATAATATATTAACGTTTAATAACATCCAAGAAGGTCACAGTTAGCTACACACGTACATCCCATAAGTCCGTGAGATTTCATAGGCCTACCGTAGGTAAACATAGAAAGAGCAATACAGTATTAATAGTAAAACTCGAGCGTCACGACATTGCGAAGTGTCTGATCTTGTTCCTCGTATCGTACTCACTCGAGTCAATCCGAGATGGCCCGAGTGAAGTTTCATGCAAATGTTTCGTACGGAAAAAAAATCGCAGCCGGCCTGGGCCTACTTAACTTCCGCGTGTTTAATCAACGACACATTGTAAATAACGAAGAGATGATAGACCGTGCTGGGCCGCATTACTAGAATTCAGAATAGCAGGCCTCTACTCGCGCGAATAAGCGGCTGCGCCCGCGGCTTTCAAAAATTATTTTTTTTTGCACTTTTTGAGGGGCGCTTATGAAAACAGAGTGTAAAATGAAGGGGCGCTTGTGGAAATTGATGAAAATCGAGGTGTTCTTATAAGAACTTATTAAATTCAAAGAGGCACTTTTTGACAGTGGCGTCAGACTGTCTCTTATACACATCTTGATCTTAATTACCATCTAACCATGT